CTAACAGGACCGTGCTGCTAACAAGACCGTGCTGCTAACAGGACCGTGCTGCTAACAGGACCGTGCTGCTAACAAGACCGTGCTGCTAACAAGACCGCGCTGCTAACAAGACCATGCTGCTAACAGGACCATGCTGCTAATATTTACAGTGTTTAGTCAACACTATTTTTTGTTTTAATTGATTTTTGCTGTTGTGTTATGTTGTCTGTACTTTTGTCTAGAACAGGTCTCTCTTGAATACGAGTTCTCGTGACTCAAGAGACTACTTGTATAAATGAAGGTTAAATAATAATTATACTGCAATTTATAGCTATGGCCCAGAAAAGCAAAGACCTTGTTTTAACTTTGACCTTGATTTGTGACCTTGACCTTAGAGCTGGGGTGATTAAAAGTGTATGCAACACTGTCTACTGATGATGCATGAGCGTGAAGTTTGATTAGATTATCTTGAGGAGATCACAAGATATGGGGCAGGACAAGAGAAAGACAGAGAATATACCATATTCACCTTTGATGGAAATTGAACCGACAACACTGAATCTTGCAAAAATGTAAGAGACAGCCTTCAGAGTTATCATTGTTAAAGATTCTCCGCTACTACCACACCAAATTGAAGCTCTTTATCTGTAAAATGGACAGTGTGATAACCGTTTTTGTGTTGTGGCTTAGCTGTGGCAGCCATCTTGAATGTAGTAATTTCCAAAAGGTAAACAGCTGTAGTTGTGCAATAAATGATTACATGCTGTTTTATTAAAATCCATACAGTTGTTCACGAGTTATTTTTCTTACTTAAAATACAAATAAACACAGACGCATATAAAAACATTATTACCTTTTTGTGACGAATACCATTTAATGAAAATACTGTAGAAAAAAAAAGTAAGTCAATCCAAAGATAAAACAATAAAGAGTTGCTGAAGTACCAAGTGCTTGTAGTGGCAAGCTCTTTGGTAAATGCAGTTCAGCTTTCCAGTAGAAAGTATTAATTATAATTTAACTCTTAAAAGGGTATAAAACAGTGAGACGGTGCCACAAATCAAAAATGTCTAACATTTTATTGGAGAAAAATAAAACTTCAATTTGGCTAAAGTTTCCACTCCCTGGTGTGTTTGGTAAATCTAAAACTTCTTGAACCAGGCTCATTACCCTGAACTAAAAACGCTCCATAACTCTGGAACCTCACCTGATTTGTTCTTCAGCTTGTAGCTCCTCGAGCCGTCACTTGAGATGCGCTGCTCAACAGAGATGTAGTCACCGTAAACCTCCTTTTTGTAAGAGTCTGGTCCTTTGTTTCTCAGTTTCACTGTTATATCTGCAGTACTACACAGAACAACCAAGATTATCAGAACCTCAGAACACAAAAACTTCAGAAATGCTGAACATAAGAACAGCCAAACAGCAGAACATAAGAACATCAGAACATAACACAAGAACAGCTAAGCA